GCCTTAGGCAAAACTTATTAAACGCCCCCTTTCACAAAAATTAATTACTAAAACATATGTATAAGAAAACAATTAATTAAAAGTGACATATTAATTTATTATCAATTGCATACACGTTATAAGTAGACATCAAAATAAAATTTTACTTGCCTCCTTCGTCTAAAAAATTTGTACTAATTCCTTCAATTCCAGTTTGCAAGCGTAATCACATTTTATTGAAATTGTTACTAAGTCCACGAGTCTACTTTGTACTTTACAACATAGTCCCCCTCCCTCACCCTTAATTTTTTTAAAGTGCTCCCCCCCTCCTCCCGGTGGTAATAAAGTCTGGAAAAAACCCACTAAAAAGTTCTTGTATTGTTGGACTCTCTGCAATCCTCCCAAGGTGAGTTCCAAAACGGAACATACCTGTTTTAAGCTTGACTGTCTTTAGTTATAATTGTAAAATGTCTATATTTTGTGACTATGTAACGATTTTTTTTCTGAAAAATAAAAGGTTATAAATGTTATTGATTCCAGCCTAAAATTGTTATATATAAATCTTTTAGGAGAGGGTTAAAAATATGAAAAGACAATTAGATGTTTAATTTACGACTAAGACTGTATGTCTACTAACATTAAGTAAAAGATTAACTAACTTACAAAAGTTGTTGAATGTATTTAAAACTTTTTGATTTAATAATAAACAAGTTAATAAAAAGTCTAGTGACAATTTAAGCGCACTTTCCTTAATTAATTTTTTGTGACCGAACGAAAGAACATTTTTGAAAACTTTCTTCAGCAATATTGTTTTAAATTATGGCAGAAATCGATTGGTAAATGTTTCAAGTCGCTAAGTGGTCTGGTTGCCGAGATATGGGCCAAAATCTGCATTTTTTTGAGTTTTTTTTTGGTTTTTCCGGGAAATCCAGGAAGGAATTCCGGGAATTTTTTTGACCCACGATCATCCTCGAAACTTGCTTAACATATTTGCTTTTGGAACTAGTCCTCGATATTGTTTCGTTGAGGAGGAGATACGACTTAAAGCTGCTAACACACATCCATCCATCCAGAATTTCGAGGTTTTTTGGCTTTCCCAGGAAATCCAGGAAGGAATTCCGGGATTTTTTTTGGCCCACAATCATCCTCGGAACTTGCTTAACATATTTGCATTTGGAACTAGTCCTCGATATTGCTTCGTTGAGGAGGAGATACGACTTAAAGCTGCGGACATACTGCGGACACACATTCATCCAGAAATGACGAATTAATAATCGCAATCCCAGTATGGAAATTGCGCTAAAAATCAGAATCTACTTGGTAGCAGCAACATTTTTGTATGTATCAGTTTAAAATTGCTGGTGAGAAATATTTTATTCATGGTTACATTTTATTGTAACTAATACACTGCTGTTCATTAGCAAAACTTGTATGACTTATATTCTTATATTCAGAGGTTTTGTGTTACAATGTCACATATGATATTGATATGTATGTATGTTTTTTAAATATAAAACAATATTACAAAGATACAAATATAAAAAGCAAATATTGAGAAAGAAACAACAAAAGACACCCCAAATTGAAATGTATTATGTACACATTGTACAAGTTAAAGGTTTTTGTTGAACAAACCGTATCGTTATTTGTAAGCGTGGAGAGGAAAGAAATTTCAGTTAAGTCAAAGCTTTAGTAGCATCTCTATCAAGGAGCAGCATAGGCAAAACGTGGTGTGTTAGGGCGCTTACAGCATTCTTCCTTCTGTAGTGGTTAGGAACTCAGAGCCTTCCTTCTGTACCTTTGTCGTTTTTAGGTGAAAAATATTCATAAAAACTTATAAACATAATATATTAATTTTTTATGACCAGACAACTAAACATTGAAGCTAATTTTAGTTGATTTACATTAGAAAGAAACAAAAATATACATTAGTGAAAATTTTTAACATTAAAGGCCTATGTAATAAACTAATTGAAAAAAACAGATTTTTTCTTTTAGATAAAGATCTAGTATTGTTTAAAAGATAATTATAAAATGTATCACAATGTTTTGATGAAAAATTAAATATGAAGTATACCCACCATTAGTAATTTCATTTGCATAAATCATCTTAATGGCATCGATTTCTTCATAGACTTCTTCAACTTGCTCTATTTCGTTATAAACATGTAATCAATCATGTTTTAGTTTAGTAATCTAAAATCAAAATATCTAGTTTTATAATTAAGATATAATGTATTTTATTTAAGGTACAGTAACATTAACTTTATGGATAGAAGGACTTCTATCCAGATAATTATTTTTAAGTGTTGTTTTTTAAAAATTGAAATGCATATGGTAAAATCATATTACTTTTCTGCTTTATAAAATTGGAGCCATCATTAGCATTGTGTACTTTTCATATAAATAGTATTAGCCTCTCCCCTCACTTTCTCTCTCTCTCTCTGTAATTATGCAGGCCTATGTACACACACACACATACACACACACATACACACACACACAGACACACACACACACACACACACACATATATATATATATATATATATATATATATATATATATATATATATATATATATATATATACATATGCAAAATGTAAGCATCTCTGTAAAGTTTAATGTATCTGTGGTATCCCCCATTTAATTATGTGGGTGTGCTAAAAACGTATTGAGACATTAGTTGGTGAAGAGAATATAGTTTCTTTAAACACACCTTCAGTGACGGAAGCCTCAGATTGATGGTTGATGTCCAAAAACCTGGCATACTTGTTAGATGATTCCCTAGCTGGACAGTCTCGCTTCAATGGCCTCGTCTCAGCTCTAAAGGAACACATTGAATACCAAGTATAAAAAAATGTATTAATACGTAGAAAACTGACTGTTTTTTTGGTAAGTAAAGTAAGGTGGTGCTATTTCCATCGAATTCATGTTTCCTGAAGGGATGGCGTGTTGAGCACTATGCCTATTCGCCTTTATTTTCCCCAATCTTAGCCAGGTACCCATCTTAGCTGGGTTGACTCAGTAACGTCCTAAAGTCACAAGTACTAACCTGGATCCAAACTCGATACGTTCGGGCTAGCAGCCAAACGCTCTACCATTCGACCACACTGTTTTTGTTTTGCTAAAAGTTGATTTGGTGGTTCCCTTTATACTGTCAGACCCCATGAAATTAGTTTTAAGAACCCTACAGGTTAGACTGTCCCCATTATGTTAGCACTTCTAGTACGTAAGTTGACACCGGCACAGATCTACTCCACCCACCTTATGTACTACACAACATACGACACTGCCTATACAACCCACCACATATAACGCTGTGTAACATTTTCAAACACCATCACCGGACTTATTCAATAAAATTTCCAGGCCATCATTTCCCCTCACAAAACCACGTCACAATTTGCTATTAAAAATGTAGGTATTTTAAGAATAAATACTGGGAATTATATCTGCGTGTTATTTCTTCGTTACAAATAATTTTAAGTCAGCCGCATTGGCGTAGCTAGGATTTTCGGGCCCCTATGCAAAAATAATCATCGGCCCCTTCTTCGTTAATTTGTAAATTTTGTATTTTATACGTCCTAATTGTGTTTTTATACGGTATTATTATGTAGTGCCCCGTAACGAAAAACAACTGGTAAAAGTATATATTATTCTCTATATAAATTCTATTTCGTTCGAGGGAGGGGGTAGGCTTTTTTGTGGGGCGGGGGGGGGGGGGGGTGACATTTAAGTAATCAAACACAGTGGCGTAACAAGGTGGGGGTGCAGGTGACACAGTTTAGGCGTGACACCATGACAAAAACTCACACTAAACGCACAGGGTGTTATCAAACACAAATTAAAAAAAAGTTGCTAATGCTTTATTTAGATTTGTTTTTCTTTCTTTTAAGTTTGCAAAATGATTTATATTTTTGCCAAATTAATTGATATTTACCTTGAGGTCTATGTTAGCTGGCCAAGTTACTGATCATAAGGGCTTATATCGTTAAAACAAGTATATGCGCCGTAGTGCTCACGGGAGAACACGGTGCTTATGCAGTTTGACAGTTCAATCTAGCAGTAACCCTGACCCCTTGTGCAGGACGCCCAATCAACTAACCTAAGGTACTAAGAAGGCAGTGGGGAAATCCGGGGTGGCGCTGCCCTCCGAACGAAATAATATATTTAATGGCAGAAAACGCTACAGAAGCCAGAGTTTCTTTCTAGCTTCTCTTCGAGTGGGAAGCACTGCTCCTCATGTGTAGAGGTGGGGTAGGAAATTTCACAGTCAGTTGAGGTTTATCTTGAGTATTCTAAACGACTTCCCAATGTTTCATGGCGATGTGGATGATTATTGTATTAATGCATAAAGGACAGGCAGACAGACAAACAAAAATATGTAATCATGGATGGATGGAATTTTGGGGAGGGCAGACAGTTTAGATGGGGATACAAGTTTGTGGGATATGGGTAGAAAATCTTCCAGTCAATTGAGGTTTGTAGCGATGCGTGTAAATTTTCGAGTGCCAGATGCCAATCTCACAAAGAGTCAAGGTTCAAGTTTATTTAAAGATTAATTCTCCCAATGGCTTGTACGACAATGTTATTAATACGGATGGGCACTGTACGAACCCCCCCCCCCCCCACCGCTGAATACCACTGCCTTTACAGTAAGAAACGACGGGGGGCCTTTTTGGAACTTTTGATTATTTCTAATATAGAAAAGAAACCGAATTTCCAATTAAAAAAATATTTTTATTAAAAAAAATATTAAAATTTCAACTTAAAAGTTTTCATTTTTTAAGAGGGTAAAGGGCCCCTATTTTCCTTGGGCCCATATGCCTTGCTTACGCTAGCTTTACGGTAGCTACGCCACTGGTCAGCCGTACCGTCGAAAATGTAAAGGTAAACAAATGAAAATATATTTTATACCACCACTACCCCCATTTAGCACTATATAGCATGCTGATTAATAAGACCTAACCTCTCTCACAGTGGATCATTTTTAATTTTACCTAACAGCAAGAAACACTCACGTATTTTTAGCTTTGATGCCTCCGCTGCTTATGTCGGCACTAAACTGTGCTCCACACGATTCCACGAGAAAAATTTCTGGTTTAGACGCTGAATCATTCTGCACACCACAAAAAAACAACACACATTGTTAATTAATTAACAAACAACATTGTTAATTAATTATGCCATTGAATTTTAGGTTAACATTTAAATCCGGTGAATATTCAGTTGGATGACATTAATGCAGTGGTTCTTAACCTGGGTTCGATCGAACCCTAAGGGTTCGGTAAGTCAGTGTCAGGGGTTCGGCGGAGGCCAAGACACACACCCGACTCTTGTGATTCACGATCAGATTTTGTCAGTGCGGACAGTAGAACTATACATGAAACTTGTGGGGTTCGGTACATTCAAAATGGTTGGAACCACTGCATTATTGTTTTTGTATTGCTACTTAGTTAATTCCGTTTCTTGCAATTTTCGTTTAATTGTAGCTACATATATAATGTATTGGTACTTTGATAGTTTGTTATGTATGTGATAATTTTCATTGATCATAACTGAATAAATAGTACTTGGTTTCTTTGTATGTTGCAATTTTCGTAGTATACATAAATGTTATGGATTTATTTTTTTTTTTTTTGTTGTTGCCTCAGACATATAATTTACAGCATCAGTTTGCCTTGCCATATCCGCTTTGGTATTATTATCTTCACTATCGGCTTGTGAGGACTGATACCGATTTAAAATTGCGATAATTCTTTCTGACAAGTAGTTTCATTCATTGAAAATGGTATACGTATACATAATGCAAACCACCTAATTTCAGTTGTAACATTCATATTTTTTTGTTTTTAAAACTTTTTTCAATTAAACTTTATTTTTCTTTTATGATCAACATCAACATAGAGATCTAGATTTCTATATATTTCGCATATTTAGAAAAAAATATCTGAACAGAAAGAAATGAAAGTAATGATTGTCACCTATATATTTAAAGCAAAGTGGTCGGGTGCTCGATAGGGCACTTTCCGGCGCCGATGGAGCGTCAAATTTGGCAGGATCCTGCCTTGGGTCAATAGAACACGAGGGCCGGTGTCGGTTGGCCGAAAATCCACGAAGACCTCTACTGACCGGCGCCTTATATGGGCTATATATCGAAAAAAAATTCCCAAGTGGGAACCTTTTCATAACTCCTAAGGTCGTAGACCGACCCTCGTGGGTGGCAAAAAAAATCATTATATGTTCCTGAAAATTTCCGGAAGACCGTTAGAACTGACTGGTCGAATTTTCCCTAAATAAACATTGTTAATTTTTTGAAAAAATGATGACTGTTTTCAAAACAATGTTTTGGAACTTTGGCTCTGGACATCTGGCTCCTTTTCTCCATACACCTGGGTAAATGAATCGGCCTTATGGATAAACTATTGGTAAGCTTCTGCTCGCGCGGCGAGGGCTAAAAAGTGACCGCGAGTGAAATTCTCCTTATATGAGCTGTATACCGAAAAAACTTTCCCACGTAGGAACCCTTTGAAAACTCTTGGGGGTGTACATCGGCCCCAGGAGGTCAGCAAAAAATATTGCTACCTTCGGGAAAACCCCGGAACAATGTTTTAACTGACCAGAGGCCATATTTCCTTATAATGCCTTATATAAACATAGTACCGTTTTTGTAAAAAGAAATACGAAAATCTGGACGTACAAAACCATTCGTAACTTCTGAGGTCGTAGAAGTACCCACTGGGGTCACTATAAGATAGGCGTTATCTTCGGGAAAACTTCGGAAGGACTTTAGAACTGACCAGTCCGAATTCCCTATAATATAAACTTTGTTAATTTGGTGAAAAAACGATGACTATTTTCAAAACAATGTTTTGGAACTTTTTCTCTGTACATCTGGCTCATTATTTGCATAGAGCTAAGAAAATGAATCGGCCTTATGGATATTGTATCGGGCAGCCTCTGCTCGCATGGCGAGGGCTAAAAAGTGACCACAAGTGGAATTCTCCTGATATGAGCTATATATATAAAAAAATTGCCGAATGATCCCCCTGATATTTTATGAGGTCGTAAACCGACCCTAGAGAGTAACAAAAAAACTTTATTCCCGCCAGAAAAAAACATTATAGTCGTTAAATATGTCCAGATGTCGTATTTCCTTATATAAGCATAGCAAAAAAAGTAAATAAATACCACGTCGTTCTTTCAATTTATAAGGGAGGTAACTTTTTTAAATAATTATTTTTAAAACTATTTTATACTTTTTTAAATACAAACAGAAAATGACGAAGTATAGCATTCATTTGATTAAGATTTTTGTTATAAATTAAGGTACGTATCCTAATTAAATTATAAGAATTAATTTTAAAAGTTAATGTAATATAAATGTTGAGTTAAACTATTCAGGGAACCTCTGTAGTTTTAATTACCTTTAGATTAATAGATTGCGAACATTCCATAATAGATTACAATTAGCATTTCTGTTTAATAAACCTAAGCACTCCACAAATCAGCCAATCTCTAATTAATCAAGCATTCCAATTCTCAAGCGAACACACAACTGACGCTGTAAATTACATGTCTGAGGCGGAAAAAAAAAAGATACCAATTCTCAAATGTTTTTTGAAAACCTAAGCGAAGCTAGGCAGTATGCCTAGTTAGAAATAAATATGACATTTTTGCTAGTGTTAAATTTTTGGTCCCACCATAACAAATATTTAAAACAAATCAAATAAACTCACCCGAGCAAACAGCTTAGACCTGTGAACATTTTTAAATTTTTAAATAAAGAAAACATTTGATGAGAGGCGTTCTACTCAAATAAAACCTGTATGCACGTTTATTGGAAAATACATATTTTCTTACACTTACCTCCCTTTGATGACATGTACAAGGGTAACAACCAGGACGAAAACAATAAGTCCACCACCAGCAGCTACAGGAGTAATGGCCCATGTTGGTAAAACCATAGGTTCCTTAAGTGAGGGTAGTCAATACATTTATGAATTAGAATAGAGGAATCTAAACCTATTTAAAAAAAAAAAAAAAAAAAATTAGTTATATGTACCGTGGGTTCTTGCTGGTTTGGCACCGAGGATCTGCTACCTGTAAGATAAATCGAAAAAAATACATAGGCCTATATATATATATATATATATATATATATATATATATATATATATATATATATATATATATATATGTATATGTATATATATATATATATATGTATATATATATATATATATATATATATATATATATATATATATATATATATATATATATATACACATGAGCTCCTCAAGGCTTAAAATTTTTTTAAACGCCGAAGAAAGAACTTGTTTTTTCCCCCAAGAAAGCCGATTAGGAAAAATACTTTTCATGTTGATTCCAACTGTAGACGTGCCGTAGCTGCCATTTGTTGTGGGCGTGACTGTCTGATTAAGCACTTGTTCACAGCTAGCGCCACCATGTTTCCCCACACACAAGCAAGTAAAATTTTCTCCGTTAGCTGAGCTGATTGAGGAAAAATATTTTATAATAGAGAAACAGGAAGAATAATAAACTTTCTCGAATATTCTTATATAAAATAACAGGGGATGGGAACTCGGGCTATAGACATGATTTTTAATCCATGTTAAATACTTAAAGTTTTAAAAATAGAATAAAATCTCGTAGACAAATTAATTGCACACCAAGTGAACGCCAAATAAAAAAGCGCATAATAGTGCGCAATATTATTAGTACTTCCGGTTATCGAAAATCGCTCAAAAGTTGATACGGATCTACGATTTTGATAAAATACTTATATATGAAATTTCATCAACCTAGCTGTAACGGTACTCAAGTAATCGTGTTTACACACGGACACACAGACACACAGACACACACACACACACACACACACACACACAGACATACGGACAAGATTGCAAAATTATGTTTTTCCGTATCAGTGAGGTGTAAAACGTCGAGATTTGTAAAAATCTCGATTTTTTTTTTTGCACGATTACAATACTTTCTCTATACTTCGTATATACGAGAAAGAAAAAAAATGCACGAAAGACGTTTTAATGACAAGCTTTTATGTAATAATGCACAAAAAGGAGAAAAATATATAATAATACTCTACTATTTAAATACCTGTAAAGAAAAGCGCGGGCCTCTCTGTAATCTATTGGATACCCTTACTATTATTTAAGAAAAGACCCACGCTTTTCTTTATAGGTATTTTAAATACACTAACAAAAGGCCCCCCCCCCCCCCTTGACCGTTAACAAAGTGAGAATTTCATTTTCATGAAGGTTGCAAATGAATCACAAATGAACCGCATTTAGTGTATTTATATGATTGTGTTAATATTACTTTGTTTCTCCACTAAGCTACTATACGTTTTCTTCATGCGTTCTTAATCTGATGACAGCTGAATCTGGCACTGGACAGATTTCTTGTTTACATAATTACTCACTCGCTGTTACAAAGTCCGCCATTCAAACATGGCTGACTGTCGCAGGGATTTGTCCTCGTCTCACAGTGATTTCCCTCCCACCCTGCAGGACACCTGCACAGGTAGGTGTACTCTGTGGGGTGGGCGTAGCAGGTTCCTCCATTCAGGCAAGAGGTTGACAGGCATGGGTTCTTCAACACTGAGCAGTTTTTTCCTTTGCAGTTATATTATACATACAGAAAACGCGTACATCATTTCATATATATATATATATATATATATATATATATATATATATATATATATATATATATATATATATATATATATATATATATATATGCCTATATATATATATGCCTATATATATATATATATATGAGAAAAATGGCCCGTTGAGGAAGGACACAACGGGCGCTAGGTTGATAGTGCTGTCTATTTTCTCTAAACTAAAACCAAAACCAAAATCATCACCTTAATTATATTTAAGCGGAAACGAAACATGACATTGAAAACGGATTTTTATCCAGAATCAGTACTTTATATTATACAAAATATAGTCATAGGCATATCCCTAAACCATGCACCTAATCTCATTCATGACAAAAGTTGCATTTAGAGTTTCTTTCAGGCAACTCTACTTGGGAGGAGGGGGCTCGGCCCCCCCCCCCACACCCCAAATCATATCTACCGTCCCATTCAACGAAATATAATTATATACTTTTTCCAGTGTCCACTCCCTCCCCGAAAAATCAACCCCCGCTCCCGAAAATTTCAAGTACCCCACCCCTCTCTGGGCAGGAAAAAGTCTGAAAGAAACACTGGTCGCATTTGTAGATCATGCAAACTAAAGAAAGAACCTGGGCGGGGCTTCACCCCTACCGGAAGAGATGCATGAAAAAAACTGTGCACGCTAAACACTTTTTAGGTTAGAAAAAGTTCCTCCCTCCGGGGAGAAAAAAGTCTGAAAGAAACACTGGTGTCGCGCTTAGCCATCACCCGAAGAATTGCATGAAAGAAACTCTGCACGCAAACCACGTTTTAGATTAGACACGTGAATTAGGCTGTAATTTTATTATTGAGTATCGATGACGACATTTCTTTTGAGTTGGGGGGGGGGGGGGTCGGCTTACGCGGGGCATGGGCTTCGCCCCTACCCGAAGAATTGTTTGAAAGAAACTCCTCACGCAAACCACTTTTAAGATTAGACAAAATTGGCTTTTTAATTCAATATTTACTCGAGAATCAATGACGTCATATTACAGTGTGCACTCTCCGGCTTGAGATTATTTTCTACTATATGTTTCAATGTGACGTCATATTTCGTTTCCGTATTACTATGAAAGTTTTTAATTTGCTTGTGTTTTCTCTAGAGCGTTCTTGTCAGATAGATACACAGATAGATAGACAGACAGCGAAACTATTAGTATTAATATATATATATATATATATATATATATATATATATATATATATATATATATATATATATCCACATTTCGATTATAGAACTACACTGATTCCAACAAACGCCTTTTAAAGAAACCCTAACCACGCCCCATAAAACAGACCCTAATCACGCCCCTCAACCCCTTAACTATTGATGTAGCAATTAAAACTAAAGAAGACAAAATGTTATTTGTTCACAATCAACAAGTTGTGAAGAAGATCAATTAAAATCACATTTCACCTGTGTAGTTTTGTGGGCAGGTGCACATGTAGTCACCAGGTAGATTAGTGCAGTTTCCCCTCCAACAGAACCCCAGGGTACACTCGTTTATATCGTCACTACACGACGTGCCATGCCAGCCTACACACACGTCATTACGACATGAGAAAAATTTTCTACTTAAATTCATTTCTTCATTTTTTTTTAAAAGAATCAACATGAGCTAAAATAATTTGATTATCACATGGACAATATAAATACATTAATATTTTATAAGTAACCAAATAATTGTAAAAATAACAATAAATGAATCAAATAATGACTTTTGCGTTTATATTTCCGTTGTGATTATGCTTGCGTTTATTTTTGCGTTTGTACTACTTCTTGCGTTTGTGTTTGCGATTATGTTTGCGTGAATGTTAATGTTTGCGTTTATGTTCTATTTTATGTTTCCATTTATGTTGTAATTACGTTTGCGTTTATGTTTGCGTTTATATTCGTATTTATGATTGAGTTTGTGTTCAAACGTTCATATTTGCATGAAGACCTTTAATTAAAAAAATTATAAATGTCCAAACCCCGGGGAGCGCAGGGTATTTGCTGCTAACTGAACACACAAGTCACGGTCCTTTACAGATAGGTTTATCTAAAATGTCAGTGCATTGCCTGGCCGATTCGGCTAGTGTATATATATATATATATATATATATATATATATATATATATATATATATATATATATATATATATATATATATATATATGGGAGAGATTGAGAGAGGGGTCTAATGTAACTGTTATATTGTTTATTTCCGTGTTTGTAAAAAGGTTCTGACATTCGTCTGGGCTTCAATTAGTCGTCACACAAAAGAAAATAAACCAGTGTTTCTAGTGCATTGATTATATGGCATGTAGCCCCACAAGCCCACCTTGCATGCAGATTTTCTTCCCTGTGCCGGCCTGACAGGTGTAGTGACCACTCGATGTGTTCTGGGAACTGCAGTTCACGTTACACGAGGAAGTGAAATAGCCTGGGTCACAGTAAAGGCGGATGTTAAATTCCATGCTGAAACAAAACGGTAGAGGTTTGCTGGCTGTTTCTATAAGAGTATTTTAAGTGGTGGTCGTGCAGGGGGGAGGTGGGGGAGATGTATTGAGTTCAGAGCTATGTACAGGTCATATTTTGGTGGAGCTGGGAGTTGTGTACATGTCATATTTTGGTGGAACTCGGAGCTTTTCCGGCTTTTCTTTGGTATTTATTTAGGCCGCAAATCGTTGTCGAACCTGTCCCACCCCTTCCTTTCACTATGACCAAGACGTCCTTAAATTAATTTCACCAGATGTTATATGAAATTGAGCGAGATCTTTACTTAGAGTACATTGCTAAACACCATGTCGATGTGTCGAAAGAGGATTAAGCTTGGATTAGGTTGGATTAGGTTTCAGTATCGGCGATCATGTTTAAAATGTGAGAATAAACTTACATTATATTGATGATTGAACATGAATCCGGGTCTAGCGATGGTTTACTTAGCTATCAATTTATTTTATTTATTCGTAGCAGTGTCGGGTGTCACCCGGTGCGGCACCTGATGGTATCACCCCCCCCCCCTCCGTAAGAATATATATATATATATATATATATATATATATATATATATATATATATATATATATTCCATATACACTTGTAAGTATGTGTATACGCATGTGTATTATTATTTAATTTTTTATTCTTCTGCTGCATGTATTTAATTTTTACCCCCCCCCCCCCATACATGGTTTAACATATAGCTTATTACGATTCTCAACCAAACCGTTTTCCTCAGGCATATATACTGCATCCCCCTCGCCACCCCCACGGTGATTGTTTTAAACTGTGCTCAGATAATACTAACGATTTGTATCTATATTCGGTTACACTTTCAGCTGGATGTTGTATGTTTTCTTTACCATTAGCAGATTTACGTAATGGTGTCCACTTTGCTCTTAAAAGACTATTTAATGCACTCTAATTAATCATTTAATTAAGTGAAAATATCATTTTTCTGTATAAATTTTGCTAATTTTTGCCTTGGTGTCACCCCCCTAAATGGTGTCACCCGGTGCGGCCCGCAACACGCCCCCCCCCCCCCTCGCTACTGATTCGAAGCCAGCTTTAACTTACGAATTCAAACCTTCTCTTAAAGTTTGGCTTGACCACTGAGCTTGGTTTTTTGATTGGGCTACTGTGACCGGGAATGAAGAGTAAAAGAGAACTATATGGTCATCTATCTTAAGGGTATCATCGTCATTCACATCCACCGCAATGATCACAGTGGGATCCTAGTTAAAAAATAGTTTTTTTTTCATTCTTTCATTTTACCAAATCTGGACAAACACGCTTTAAACTTTGGTTATTAAAAATTACAAAAGAAATGTGCACGAAAGTATAATACATACAAGTAAAATTTGTAAGTCATTTGCCAAATTTTAATAGCGAAAATCACGTGCTTTATAACCAAAATAAAATATTACATAGAAATTATCTGTAGTTATGATCCATGGGTTAGCAAGTCCACCGATACTTGTCTTGTCAGCAAGATAAAGATATTTTGCATCTGTATAGCTGGTACTCCATGGCGTCTTTCCATAGTTGCAGAAATAATCCTCGAAATATGTTCTGTGTGAAGGTTTTTAAAGCATTATTTGTAATGGTATTTGTATTTAAACATGGGAGCCCGGTAGCGAACTACCGACTGCAGTAAGAAATGGTTAAGATTATAAAATCAAACTGCTTGCTTTTAGAGAAGCCGTTACATATATCCAAGTGCATCTGGGGGTGTTCTTCCCACTAGGTATAACTACTTTCAGGTTGATTAACGTATTTATGTTGTTTTGTTTTAAACCCAAGGGGACCAACAAAACGAACACATCGCTTTATGAAAACTCCTTCTTAGAAAGCATTCAGCGTTCATTCCCAGAGTCCCACATTTATACACTAATTAACTTTGCAAAAGAAACTATTGTTAGGTCTTTTCAATTTAACACGACATATATTTTTGAAACATACAACATTGAACTTTATTGCCGAGATGCATAAATTAGAAGTAAGATTTTTAAATAGTAGTTACAACCATACGTGAAACGTCAATGTTTTCTTTTGCTTTTGGTATATTATAAGATTTTTACAAGCTTTTATTTAACTCACTGTCTCTGTCGTCAGTCTGTATGTCTGTCTAGATAGAAACGACTGTTTAGATGTTTCAACGTTGGCACGTGAGTCAAGACATAGAGACAAATCAACATGACATTAAATTTGACGTAACTGGTTGCCTAATTAATTTTCTTATGAATTAATTAATTTTTTTTCCAACTATTCCGCGCTATTTTACACGCGTCATCAAGTTCAATAGGTGCCAATGGTTTTTAGTCATGCAACTCTAGTGTAAATAAAACATGTAAAGTACTACATTTTTTTTTCATAAAAAAACGTTTTAATAACAAGCTTTAATGTAATAATAGACTAAAAAGTAGAAAAAAATTATACACTACTATTTAAATTACTAAAGAAAAGCGTGGATATCTTCCTAAATATTAGTAAAGGTATCCAATAGATACTAAAGTGACGCACGCTTTTCTTTATAGTAATTTAAAAAGTAGTGTATAGTTTATTTTCTACTTTTTAGTGCATTATTACATAAAAGCTTGTAATTAAAACGTTTTTATGAAATTTTAAAGCTTATTTTAAATATTTAACGTTTTCACAATCCTGAAACGACACAGATTTGTATTAGTATATTTTAAAAAAGTCAAGTATGAGAAAGTCTTATTTTAATGTAATAGCCATATAAGTTCTCTCTGTATATTGCGTTATGACCCATGGGTCGGAACACGTGACTCACCGAGCTGATTGTGGGCTGCCCATACAGAAAGAGAAATACGGGTCACACTCACTGTATGTGTCCTGTTCGCAGTTGCTTGAATAACTCAAAAACCAAACCTCAATCTGACCAGTCCCTACAATTTCCTGTATGTAATGCAAAACATTTTTAGTGAAATTTGTATCATACTTTTTATTTTCTCGTATACGAGTATAGAGGAAGTATTGTGATCGCACAACAAACCAAGAGCAATATTCCTTTACATCCCCCTCCCCGTTAGTCGGAGAGAAACGTAGTTTTGCAATTTTGTCTGTCATTTTGTGTGTATGTCTGTGTGTCTGTCTGTCTGTCTGTAAACAAGATAACTTGAGTACCGTTAGCTAGGTTGACGAAATTTCATATATAATATTAAATTTGTAGTTCTGTATTAACTTTTCATCGATTTTCAGTAAATGATAGTGGAACTTATTCTACTTTAAAAGTTTTTTCAAAAGTCTATAGCTTGAGTACTTTTTCTGCAAGATAAACGAAACTTATTAAAAATCTAATTTTTTTCCCTCAAATTTTGATTAATTTCTGGTGACCGGTAATAGTACTTTACTGATTTCTTAAAAACGCATTATAATTTATTTTCAAGTTGATTCCCCTTTTTATACTAGACCGAGTTATTTTAAACTTTTCGCGTAGGTGAAATTTTACATATTTAGATGATTAACTAACATTCAACGCATTTTAATATATAAAAGCACATGTGTGCAATTCTCTCCACCGCCGATCCCATATTTTCCCAAGCTATGAGATCAGTCTCTTAAGCAATATATAAAGAACTTTCTTCTTCTTCGTCTTCTTCGTACTTAATTTTAGATATTCAGAGATATGGACTTTTGGTGAAAATAATATGTAGGATGTATTGAATGTATAAATATTTTTTTATAAAGACGGAAAATAAAAATAAACGCATATTCGAATGTAGAAACACATTTTTAATTATGCTATTGGAGAAGTGTTTATGGTTGTGACAAGATCACTCTTAGAATATAAAAACTATCACTGACAAAAAGTATTAAGTCACATGAAACAAACAAAAACATATCACAAATGGCGTCATTGATTGTAGGATAAAAATAGAATTAAAAATTGAATATAGAAAATTACACACAATACCAATTAAGTCATGTTCAATATGACTCGCATCCCGCATCTTCCAATTTTAGAATATAAAGAAAAGAACTTTTTCATTCAAACTTGATTTAGATCTATAGATCTATTTATCAAGACGTACGACATAAAATTTATACAATTTTCTCGGTCAAAAATAAAAACATTGAAAATTTAAAAAAAAAAAAACAACCAAAATACCATTGAATAGCGGGTTTTTAACGGAATAGTTTAAGTCAACTGTTCGTTTGGGCATTAAATACGATTTTGCGTTGACTAGTAATGTAAATAATGTTTTTTTTTTCTAACGGGTATTGTTAGCCTATATTGTTACATTACTTAAACACACACAGGTCTCTAAGTTAACCTTGGTACTTTATTCCTATATACAGACAGCTCAGACGACACGTCCTGTCTCGGACTCTACACATCAACTACACATCACGGCTAACACAGTGAACACTCAAGGGACGTAAACTTAATACAAGGGACGTAACAATCACTAACAAGACATACTATAACATATATTATATTAAATGTGTCGGATTTTTAGCTATTTGGTTATTTTTTTTTTTGCTTTGTCCCTAATATTGTTAAACGTATAGTAAAGTACATTGCGTTTTAAGCAATAACTATTTTATAAAACATTTTGATCAAACATTTTAAAAATATAGGCCTTAAATTCACGTATAACGGGTACCGATAGCTAATAATATTATAGCGACCCTCGTTTTTCTTTCTAGTTATTTAAATAGTAGTTCATTATTCAATATTTAGAGGAAATCTTTCTTCTCTTTTCTCCATTTTGGTGCATTATTACATAAAAGCTTGTTATTCAAACATTTTTATGCCTTTTTTTCAAAAGCAATTTTTTCAATACCTTCAATTTTTAAATACAGAGGTTTTTTTTTTAGAGTTCCATGACGAAAAAAGGTTGTGTGAAACGGGGCGTTTTAAAAAGTTTTGCATAGGGCGCCAAATAACCAGGCTCAGGCACTGTAAACAAAATCACTGAACCGCACCCCACCCTTTCGAGTGTGATCGAATCGTTTGTGTAAGCAGTAATGACTGACTGCATTCACGCGATCTGGGTCATAATTAAAAGCCGAACCTTCCCGACATACATTTTCATCTTGCATCGAGATTTTTTCCTGTCGACCCACCAGAATTTTCCCGGTTTCCCCGCGGCCCAGCCCACCCAAGTTTGTGAGATGTGATGTAGCTTTATTACATCAAATCGGGGGAATGTGCTGGTTTGCATAAGATTAAAAACATACACATAGTAGAATAGTAGATCTATATTTCAGAGGCGTAGCGACCCTTCTCGGCGCCCTGGGACAAAGTTTCAATTTGCACCCCCCTCAAACTTCCGATTTGCACCCCCCCCCCCCCTCAAACTTTCGATTTGCACCCCCCATCAAACTTTTGATTTGCACCCCCCTCTTTCGATTACTTTTTCCAACCCATTTTGGCGCACCCCCCTGCCCCCCCCCCCCCCATTGCTACGCCGATGCTATATTTAAAGGTTTTAGAATATTATCTTTGTTAAACCCTTTAAAAAAAAAACTACAAACTTTGCATTTATTATATGTCAAAGTCTTAATTTAGTGGGTCATATTTAAGAAACTGTCAGCAATCAATTTTCCAAAAAAAAAAATCTTCAGAATATAACTTTAAGACAGTTACATTCATATTAGCATAGTTGTGCATTAGAAATATTTTTAAAATGACATTTCTAAACTGGCATAAAATATGAAACTACATGCTATTAGCTATTACATTTTCTTGAAATCTCATGTGGCGGAGTGCGTTTATATTTGAATACTTTTTTTTTTAAAACTGATGTTAAAAACGAAATTATTCATCTCTTTTTGTTTTCTTAAGACAGGTAAAAAAGCAACTTACAGGTACCAGGAGGAGCATCATCAGCAGACTTGTAGCAGAGAACATGGCACTTTTGGTAACGTAAAGCATTGAGGTGTTGTGGTTTTCTATCGTAATGTATGCTAAATTATCGTACTCTATTAATGTAAAGCATAGTTGTTATTCTATTAATGTAAAGCATAGTTTTTAATATGGTTATGGTTTGGAAACGTAAAGTATGCTAACATTTTATTCTATGAATATAAAGCATAGTTATTACTATGTTGTGGTTTAGAAACGTAAAATATGCTAGCATTTTATTCTATTAATGTAAAGCTTACTATAGCTGTTGTTTAGAAATGTATAGTATGCCAAAGTTCAATGTTCGTAATGTTGTATGCTAAAAGTGTAGTTTACATATCTGTTTGTGTTTTACTAATTCTCTGTATCGACTTGTCAAAAATTAATGTAAGTCTGGAAATATTGATATTTTAAATGTCTGAACAAAAAGCAGTGCCGCTATCTTACGTCTCTTAGAGTCTGTCGCCCAAGTGCAAATACCGTCTTTAATTTAGTTCTGGGAATAAATATCTGGTCGATAAAAGTTTGCGCTATCAGACCCTCCACCATGATAATGAGATCATGATCTCACCCTCCACTCCAACCCCGAGACTGAAGTATGAGTCATTCAGCTACAGCTCTCTGCTACCGATGTACACATTAATGACCGATACTGATATAGTCAAATTGAAGTGCAAAATGTATGTGTGTGTGTGTGTTTGTGTGTGTGTATGGGGTAGGGAGAGGGGGTAGGGAGTAAATCTTGTAGAATAAAAGCTTAGTTTAGGGGTTAGAGGTCATTAGAGATTTTTTAAAACAGCTTTGCTGTGGCGAGGAAAAGTATCAATCCATAGGTCAATTAGATGTTCCAAATCCCAAACTCATACTCCAGTCACCAAACCCCAGCAAGACGTCATCAAATCTTTTTATTGAACTTGTTACCCCTTTAGGAATCTTGTCAATAACTTTTTATCAGCTCAAGGTTGCAAGTAATTAATTAATTAATTATTAATAAGCAAACAAAATCTATAATTTAAAAAATAGAATTACCATTAATTAAAAAACTCGAATTGCATTTCCAAATAAATCGACGGTTTAAAACCCATGTAAGAATTTCAATTAAATTTGGCTGCCTGCATTATTGTATGACATTCATGTGTTTGGCTAGCTGCCAAATCTGGACTTTTCATTATTTAAAAAAAAACAATAAAAACAATAGAGGAAGTTAATTTTGATTTTATTCTGCAGCTCTATTTGTGTGTGTGCCGAGCTAAAGGGAAACGAGAATTTGATAGTTATCATTGATTTGAAGTAGATTCTATTTTTAAATAGCACTTAAAATTAAGAAGTTTAAAAGTTCAAAGACAATAAGGACATGTTTTTTCTTAAAACTTTAAGATAAAGAAAAATTCAGTTTAACGACCTTACTTTTTCTGTTATTGTGAACGGGTTATTTTAATTTTACGATTAATACATATTAAATAATAAAAAAAATTAAATAAAACCTTAATCATTTTTTTTTAAATGCACTAAAAATACAAAAGTAAAATAAAAAACGTTTAATATTAAAAAAAATAAATAAACCGAGACTGATCTCCCCTAACCTTTCTCGAATATTCTTATATAAAAAAATCAGGGGATGGGAACTCGGGACATAGACATGAATTTTAATCCATTTTAAATACTTTAACTTTTAAAAATAGAATAAAATCTCGTAGAAAAAAGAATCGCACACCAGTGAACGCCAAATAACATGTGCATAATAGTGCGGAATATTATTAGTACGCTATTAATACGCTATTTTTGATTTCTCAAAAAACGCATGTAAATTTATAAAGTACTAATAATATTGCGCACTATTATGCACATTTCATTTTGCGTTCACCTGGTGTGCAATTCTTTTTTTTCTACGAGATTTTATTCTATTTTAAAAAGTATTTAAAATGTAGTTCCCATCCCCTGTTGTTTTATATAAGAACTAGGCATACTGCCTAGCTTCGCTTAGGTTTTCAAAAAAGTTGAGAAATTGAATGATTAATTAATAGGCGAATGGCTGTTATATTAAATGTCTAAATTTATACAGTGGGGTACTTTTTTAGTACCCATAAATTGATAGAATATTCGCAACTTATTACTCGCAAGGTTATTAGAACTGAAAGGGCTTTCATAAAAATTATCAATCAAATATTATATTAAATTACTTTTGCAATTAATTTTACAATTACAATACAATACAAAACTTAATATATAACACAATATCCATTTAAAACAATGCTATACTTTATGATTTTTGTTTTTTCTTAAAAAGAGTATACAAAATATTAAAAAATTGTTACATTAAAAAGTTACCTCCCCTGCTCATAGACCAATTGACCAAATTTCGTATAATGAGAATTTCACTCGCAGTCATTTTTAGCCCTCTTCGAGGGCTTTAATGCTGACCAACAGGTTTTCCATACGGCCCATCTATCTATAGAGGTGTATGCAAAAAATTAGCCAGTTATACAAAGAGTAAGTACCCTAAAATTTGCGTAGAAATTACCCAGTTTTCCCCATAAAATACAAAGATTATATAGGGAAATACAACTGGTCAGTTTTGACCGCTTTACGAAGTTTTCCCAGATATGCCGAGTTTTTTGTGACACCCCTAGGTGTTCTTCTACCACCTCACAAAATATCAAGGGGGGTCGTCGGAGGAAATTTTTTTTCGTAATAGAGCTCATATAAAGAGAATTTCACTCGCGGTCACTTTTTAGCCCTCGTCGAGGGCTTTGAGTGTAACCGACAGTTTTCCCTAAAGGTCAAGCCATTGACCTAGGAGCATGCAAAAAATTAGCCAGATATACTGAGCTTAAGTACCCTAAAGTCTGCGTTGAAATGACCCTCTGTTTTTCCCATAAAATACAAAGATTATATAGGGAAATACAACTGGTCAGTTTTGACCGCTTTACGAAGTTTTCCCAGATATGCCGAGTTTTTTGTGACACCCCTAGGTGTTCTTCTACCACCTCACAAAATATCAAGGGGGGTCGTCGGAGGAAATTTTTTTTCGTAATAGAGCTCATATAAAGAGAATTTCACTCGCGGTCACTTTTTAGCCCTCGTCGAGGGCTTTGAGTGTAACCGACAGTTTTCCCTAAAGGTCAAGCCATTGACCTAGGAGCATGCAAAAAATTAGCCAGATATACTGAGCTTAAGTACCCTAAAGTCTGCGTTGAAATGACCCTCTGTTTTTCCCATAAAATACAAAGATTATATAGGGAAATACAACTGGTCAGTTTTGACCGCTTTACGAAGTTTTCCCAGATATGCCGAGTTTTTTGTGACACCCCTAGGTGTTCTTCTACCACCTCACAAAATATCAAGGGGGGTCGTCGGAGGAAATTTTTTTTCGTAATAGAGCTTATATAAAGAGAATTTCACTCGCGGTCACTTTTTAGCCCTCGTCGAGGGCTTTGAGTGTAACCGACAGTTTTCCCTAAAGGTCAAGCCATTGACCTAGGAGCATGCAAAAAATTAGCCAGATATACTGAGCTTAAGTACCCTTAAGTCTGCGTTGAAATGACCCTCTGTTTTTCCCATAAAATACAAAGATTATATAGGGAAATACAACTGGTCAGTTTTGACCGCTTTACGAAGTTTTCCCAGATATGCCGAGTTTTTTGTGACACCCCTAGGTGTTCTTCTACCACCTCACAAAATATCAAGGGGGGTCGTCGGAGGAAATTTTTTTTCGTAATAGAGCTCATATAAAGAGAATTTCACTCGCGGTCACTTTTTAGCCCTCGTCGAGGGCTTTGAGTGTAACCGACAGTTTTCCCTAAAGGTCAAGCCATTGACCTAGGAGCATGCAAAAAATTAGCCAGATATACTGAGCTTAAGTACCCTAAAGTCTGCGTTGAAATGACCCTCTGTTTTTCCCATAAAATACAAAGATTATATAGGGAAATACAACTGGTCAGTTTTGACCGCTTTACGAAGTTTTCCCAGATATGCCGAGTTTTTTGTGACACCCCTAGGTGTTCTCCTACCACCTCACAAAATATCAAGGGGGGTCGTCGGAGGAAAATTTTTTTCGTAATAGAGCTCATATAAAGAGAATTTCACTCGCGGTCACTTTTTAGCCCTCGTCGAGGGCTTTGAGTTAAACCGACAGGTCTGCCCTACGGTCAAGCCATTTACCTATAAACATGCCAAAAATTAGCCAGATGTAAACAGGGTAAGTGCCCTAAAATCCGTTTTGAAATGACCCTCTGTTTTTCCCATAAAATACAAAGATTATATAGGGAAATACGACTGGTCAGTTTTGACCCATTTCCCGATTTTTCCCGGACATGGCGAGTTTTTTGTGACACCCCAAGGTGTTCTCCTACCACCTCACAAAATTTCAAGGGGGGTCGTCGGAGGAAATTTTTTTTCGTAATATAGCCCATATAAGGCGCCGGTCAGTCGAGGTCAGTTTTGACCCCTTCTCCGTAGACTTTTCGGCCAACCGTCACAGGCCTTCGTGTTCTATTGCCCGAAGGCACCATCGTGCCAAATTTGACGCGCCTGCGGCGCCGGGAAGTACCCTATCGGGCACTTGACCACTTTGCTTTATATATATAGATATTCGAGAAAGTTTAGGGGAGATCACTCCCTGTTTATTTTTAAAAAAAGTTATGTAATTTAAATTTTAAAATAACTGTAATGCAGCTTGAAATAAAGTTATGCGGGAGTTATCTCCCCTAAACTTTCTCACAAGGTCGTGACTAACCGAGCGGTTTTCGAGAAAACGCATCGAGGTGGAAATTTCTTAGAACCTGCTGCTTTGGAAAAGAACAATATAAAAATATATCAATTAATATGGATTTTTGAGAGATCAGAAGTAGCGTAAAGTGTAACTTCCGATCACCGGGAATCACTCAAAAGTTTTACATAAACCTGTGAATAAGAACAGAAATATAACAGAAATGAACAAAACAGATGACAGAAAAAAGTACAAAACAGAATATACCAGAGCAGAACGGAACAGAATAACGGAGTGTCTGCGTATTAGTACACAAAAAAAATGGTGTTAAAATTTGAACAGAACAGAACATGACAGGACAGGACAAAAAAGATCAGAATTGAACAGATCGGAACAGAGTAAAGCAAAAAAATAAAAATAAATAATAAAAAAAAACAGCAACAAAATATACTTTTATTAATTTTTTTATAACTTATTTTTATCAATGCTTCAATCGAACTTGAATGATTCACCCGGTTGTGTGCAAAGAATGTTTTTCTCATATTGATTAAAGAGTGCGTAGCTGTTCCTCGGGTTTCAGTCGATCCATCAAATGTACTTCCTGGGCGGGCGCTGAAGTTATGGGCGCGCGGTGAAAGTATCACTTTCAGTACAAAATATTCGAACAAAATATTCTACCAGGTCGACTGACTCCAAGTGAACTACAATTCGAGAAAATTATCGAGTGCTTGAAAGAATGCGCCAAACATTTTTTTTTTTA